TATAATTTGGATAGAAAAATTGGCTTCCAGGTGGAAAAATCAAAGTTGGAAACAGAACTGCTAGATCCCAAAACTAAAACACTTTCAAGAATGTATAACTTGCTGCTAAAATGGAATACTCAGGATGAAACGGTAAAATCTGCTATGATTAAATGGGCACAGGATGTTGGACATAACATTATGTTTGCTGACTGGGAACGGTTATGGACCACAGGTACGAAGTTTACAGCATGTAATGCTTTAAAAGAGAATATAATGAAAATGGTGTACAGGTGGTACATGACCCCAGTCAAGCTTGCAAAAATCTACCACTTGCCCGATAATAAATGTTGGAAATGTAAGGAAACTGAAGGTACATTCTTTCACCTTTGGTGGACGTGCCCAAAGATCAAGGCCTTCTGGGAAAGGATATATAATGAGTTGAAAAAGGTATTTAAGTATACCTTTCTAAAGAAACCAGAGGCCTTTCTCTTGGGCATTGTTGGCCAATTGGTGCTAAAGAAAGACAGAACTTTCTTTATGTATGCAACAGCAGCAGCAAGGATACTCATCGCAAAGTATTGGAAGACACAAGATTTACCCACTCTGGAAGAATGGCAGATGAAGGTAATCGAATATATGGAACTGGCGGAGATGACTGGCAGAATCCGTGACCAGGGAGAAGAGTCGGTGGAAGAAGATTGGAAGAAATTTAAAGACTATCTACAGAAATACTATAAAATTAATGAATGTTAAATTGAGGTCTGATTGAAAATAACTGGTATTGGCAAAAGCCTTGTGATTAAGAGCATGGAATATTTGATCGATAAAGTTGTAATATTTATATATAAATAGATTAACTTTTTGAGTTAAGATAAAGAAAGGAGGGTAAGGATTTGCTGAAAGGAGTTCTTAAATGGAAATACAAGCGGGAGATGTGGGGAAGTCAAAGAATTAGGTAATGATAAGAAGGTTAAATGAAAGTATAATACTTTTTAAAATTTTCTGTTTCTTTTTCTTTTTTCCTTTTTCTTTTTTTGTTATGGATATTGTTATCTCTGTTTGCTTTTTGTTATTGTTATTGTTGTTTTCTGTTTGTCGAATTTTTGTATTTTTGCATCTTTTGGAATTTTTTTCTGTAAAACCAATAAATATTATAAAAAAAAAAAAAAGATAATCCCCAGCAGTTTCCCCCCAGTAATATATGCATTTATATGCTCACTTTACACATCAATCGGCTGGAGCACTGTACTGCAAAGTTTGGAGAGGTGTGCATTTTGAAGGATGTTGTGTTTCAGTTCTCATGTTGCTTCAGAAAGTGATAACAAGTTTGATTCACCTTTGAATGCAAACAGAATCGATCTTTTCCTCCACCCCTAAGTCAAGTATGGCTGAATCTCACAAACAGTTCCATTACAGGGATGTGCCTAACCAAAAATGGAACCTAGTTGCTTGTGTGAAGAAGCGAGTTGTAACTGTGTGAATCACTCCCAAGACAGCCTCAGTAATGTCATTGCCCAGTCCTTCACGGCTGAATGGCCTATTGTTTCAGAGTCTAAGAAAAAAGGAAACATGCTTACAAGCTCATTGTTCTAACCTCATTTGACAGGTGTTCCTCTCAGGTATACTTCTGATCCACTTCCCATTCAGGGTTAATTAAAAAGAAAAGACTCTTCTGCTTGCGCCAGTGGGATGACAAGTCCAGAGAAGCAACAGTGTTTGACCCCAGCAATGAAATTTAGAGCCATCAACCATTTCATCAGCAGAGCATCTGGGTTGTTTGTTCCTATTCTTCTCTGCCTTGGCAGAGCTCTGCAGGTCTCCTGGGCGTATAACTCATGTTGTAGTCAGTGCAAGTCACAGATGGAGTGTTTTCACCGGGGTTCAATGTAATTGCTAGCATCTATCACTTTAATAGCCTAATGAAGGTGAGATGTAATTAGAAAGGGTGTCAACCGGAATATGGAGTTTGTTCTGCAATTATCTGTACAGCGGGTAACCACTGTCACAGAACAATGGCGGTTATAAAGCTGGTAATGTGTGGCATAAATGTTCATCACTGGGTGACTTAACGCGACAACTTAAGTTCTGTAATTGCTGCTTTTCTTAGGAACCGCTTTCAAAGCAGAGGGAGAAGTCCTTCCCCGCAGTGCACGACAATGCTCTGAAATGCCGTCTGTCGAACCGCAGTGACATCATCAGGACAAACGGTTGATTGGCAGCGATGTTGACTGAATGTGTGTTTATGCAAGCACGCTTCTAATGAATTCGACAATTGTAATAAGAAGAATTCTCAGCGGGACAATTGCCAGCAGAAAGCAACCTCCAGCCTAAATGTTTGTAGTGCCATAATCTGCAAACCGCAATTAAAAAAATGTTTGCAAATGAGAGGAAGAGTCCTTGACTTTAAATCAACGACGCTACTTTCTAGGCAGACAGAGAGCATCTCCAGGCAGCTGGATGATTGACCCTTATTTAAGAGATAATGGCAATGGTATAAAGAAGATTGCCACCAGATAATGATCTCCCGCAGCTAGATAAATGCTGTGGTTTTATGCCTGATGGATGCAGTAGAGAGAAATGGCAATAGGGGTTCCGAATGGGATGCGGGAAGGGCTCAAACTGCACTTTAAACAGTTAGCAAAACAGATATATATATAATTTTCACTATTGTATTGTACTGTAGTATTTCCAACTTTTTTTCCTGTTCCCTGTTGCTGTGCTTTTAACAGCAACAAGCTCTCCAGGCATTATTTGGTGTCAATGCATGACCAGTTAATGTTCCTCCTGGCTAGATCCAGTTTGCACAAACTTTTCCTATGCACCTATCCTTTCCCCACCACTTATAAAGTTCATAGACAAATAAATATCAGAAAGATAACTCCTTCTTGTAGTTTAAGCTGGGAGGTGATCAGATAAAATGTGAATGCATAAACATTCTGTGGAACTTGTAAAGTCCCAGTCCTGCAGATCTAAGTGGTCAAGCGGTCATATATGTTTACTTGAAGCTTAAGGCTACTTTTAAGAAAAATCATTAAAATAATTTCCCTTTATAGCATTGTGCCAACAGCACCCCTCCAATGTGTTTCTATGCATGTTTATTTTAGAATCTGTACCTTGAATGATCAGTTTTAACTCTTCAGTTGTGCCAACTAAAGTCCACCTAACATTTGCTAAATTAACATCCTAATTCCCCTGATTATTTAAAATTTGAAATATTTATCACCTGCTCTTCATTGCAATAGCAATCCCATAGCAGGATACATGGGAAGTTAAAACACAATGCATATAATGACACAAGAAAAACAGACAACAGTCCACTCTTAACACCCAGAACAAATGCAACAATAGTCAGACCAGCTCAGGCTCTAATGGTCAGCAATATCTGGGCGAGAGAGATATGTCTTTATGTGGCGTCAGAATCTCACCCAAAGCAGCACCAACTGTGTTCCAGAAGGAAATGAGTCCCATAGCTTGGGTGCCACTACTGAGAAGACCTTTTTGAGACAATGGCATTGCTTAGAATTGATCTCCTTGACCCCAGTTACCCTTCAGGTGCCAAGGTCAAAAAGCCCTAAGCATGGCTGTCAAGATTGCATGTGACACTTGCAGGCTTGTAAAGTGCGGCACCATTTTGGAAGAGCTGGGCGGAATATTGGGAGCTGGGGGGGGGGGGACTATGGGCAATATAAGCAGGCTAGTTTATAAGTCCAAATTAGGTCCATTTCTGATGATGAACTGCTAATAGGGTCACACAAATGATGGCTCTCCTTGCATTGTCCTTCAAGGCTGTAACTCATCGGACACGAATTAATTTCTCCCCTAGTTAATGATTACTATATGGTACTTTTATCATATTGTACACCATTTTGATAGCTTTGACTGGGGTACAGTTTATAAAATGAATCAAAAGGAAGCCTGGCTTAGTTCCATGGGATTTACATCCTAGTACACAGAATGCGGGTGGCGCTGTGGTCTAAACCACTGAGCCTCTTGGGCTTGCCGATCAGAAGGTTGGCGGTTCGAATCCCCGTGACGGGATGAGCTCCCGTTGTTCGGTCCCAGCTCCTGCCCACCTAGCAGTTCGAAAGCATGCCCAAAAGTGCAAGTAGATAAATAGGTACCACTCCAGCGGGAAGGTAAACGGCATTTCCGTGCACTGCTCTGGTTCGCCAGAAGCGGCTTAGTCATGCTGGCCACATGACCTGGAAAAACTGTCTGCGGACAAACGCCAGCTCCCTCGGCCTGTAAAGCGAAATGAGCGCTGCAACCCCAGAGTCATCTGAGACTGGACTTAACTGTCAGGGGTCCTTTTTAAAGATCCCATAAGGACATTGGGGGGGTGGGCTGCCTTATACTGCATCAGACCATTGCTCCATCTAGCTCTGTAATGACAACATTGGCCAGCAGCACCTCTTCAGGGTTCCAGAGAAGGGATGTGTGCAGCCATACCTGGAGATGCAATGGATTGAACCCGGGGGCCTGTTGCATGCAAGGCAGACGCTGTACCACTGAGCAATCCCTTCCCTTAGAATTGAAGCCTTAGACCAATAACTGCTGTATGAAAAGCCCACCCATGAATGGCTGGCTGCATGGCAATGGCCAATGTGGCAGCCTGTTGTTCGGAGCATCAGTGTTCATTCTGCAGGGCAGAATCTGTTTCCAGGGACTGAGAATGCCTTGCCAATGCTGAGTGGTGGGTTTCCAACATGAATGATCGTGTTTACTTAAACAGGAAGCCTATGTAATGACAGTGATGGCTTCTGAGAAAGTGAAGCGCATGGTAATTGCTACAATTAAACTGTAATGACATAATTAATGCAAAGATTATGCATGGCTCGACTCCAAGCTGTCACAGTGCAAGAGGTGTCGATCATGCCTGGACCACAGTTCCTTCTGTTGAGATAGCCTCTGATCAGCCTTGGGAAGCCAGGGAGCATTGTGGAAGCAATTGCTCATGGGTGGTAGCGAAACAGGCTACTAGAGATAAGAAGGAAACACATGGAGAAGAGCAGGCAAGGGCCGTAGCTCAGGGACAGAGCATCTGCCTTGCAAGAGGAGGTCACAGGTTCAATTCCTGGCATCTCAAGGTAGGGCTGGGAAAGAGTCGCTGTCTGAGTCACTGACAGTCAGTGCAAGCCGCACTAAAGAGGTGGAGACCTCCGTACAGTGGTACCTCGGGTTACAGATGCTTCAGGTTACAGACTCCGCTGACCCAGAAATAGTACCTCAGGTTAAGAACTTTGCTTCAGGATGAGAACAGAAATTGCGCGGTGGCAGCGGGAGGCCCCATTAGCTAAAGTGGTGTTTCAGGTTAAGAACAGTTTCAGGTTAAGAACGGACCTCCAGAATGAATTAAGTTCTTAACCCGAGGTACCATTGTATGAAGCAGTTTTCTATGTTCCCTGTGATTTAGTGAAAAAACGAGGGCTGCTTTACACTTTATGCAATTTCTGCTCAGAAAAGCGACTGCTTGAAATGCATGCCTAGATTAAATCACTTATTCCTGCATTTCAGGGAGTTAGACCAGATGATCCTCAGGGTACCTTCCAACTTTTTGTTTGTTTCTGTGATGTTCCTCCATGAAGGATCCACCTCCCCACTGGTGCATATGTACTGGAAGATATGGATGCTTCTGACGTCTTTACACTGCATGTGTGTAGAGCCAACAAAATGAAGAGCATTATAGGATCGCGAGACACAGAGTGCTCCACAGCAGCCTCCCTCCCTCCCTGCCTGCCTGTTTTTCTCCCTTCTCCAAGCTGGTGCCTTCCAGATGTTCTGGATTACAGCTCCTGTCATTTCCAGCCATTGGCCACTCTGGCTGGAGATGATGTGAGTCGCAGTCCACAGCAAGAGAAGAACATCTTTCAGGGAAGCCTGTTCAGGCTGGTGTCCTACTGTTCACTTCAAGTGGGTGGGGGGGGACTATGGGCAATAATTTTATGAAGCATCCCTGAGAATAAGCAAAGGGTGCAGGCAGGAAAAGAGCAGCATGAGCAAAGTATCCGGCTGCAGTTCTCCTGGTGTACCCACATATCTGGCCCTCTTGCGTAGCTTCGAAGCCATGCTGACATTTGTATGTTGCTTCGGAAAGCAGGACTCCAATTAAATGGGGGTGAAAAGTGCAGTGAAGTAGATTTTGTTTAAACGTTTGGGCAGACTTTCTAAATGGTAAGAGCTGTTCACCCCTAAGGAGGTGGAGGGTTCCTTTATGCTGGAGGGGTTTAAGCAGATCCTGGATGGCCAGGTGTAGTTGCATCCTGCATCGTCCAAGGGGTTGGGCTACTTCAGGGGTCACTTTCAACTCTATGATTCTACGATCCCTGAAACTCTGAGAAACAAGACCCAATGTGGGCCAGCACCTAGAAGACCTGGCATTGGATATACCTGGTCCCACCTCTGCAGTGGAATTTTTATTATTGCTTGATTTTGATTTTTGGTATGTACTTAGGCAAATCACTGACTTTCTGTCTTGATTTCGCAAGTGTAAGTGGTGATCTACCTTACAGGGTTGTTGTGAGAACAAGAGTGGGGGCTTGTCAGTGCTTGTGTTGGTTGATTTCAGAATGCCCAAAGGAAGTGGAAGAAATGACCAGGCTATCGAAGAATGGAAATGACAGCTCTGAGCTGTTGGGGGAATCTTCCTGGTGGCAAAAGCTGTTCAGCAGTAGAACAGACTGCCTTGAGAGGCAGAGAGCTGATATATCCTCTGGTTTCCTGCAGTGATGCAATGGGCTAATAAACTGGAGGCAAAGAGTTGTTGTTGTTTTCGTTTAGTTGTGTCTGACTCTTCGTGACCCCATGGACCAGAGCACGCCAGGCACTCCTGTCTTCCACTGCCTCCCGCAGTTTGGTCAAACTCATGTTGGTAGCTTCAGGAACACTGTCCAACCATCTCGTCCTCTGTCATCCCCTTCGCCTTGTGCCCGCCATCTTTCCCAACATCAGGATCTTTTCCAGGGAGTCTTCTCTTCTCATGAGGTGGCCATAGGTAGCCTTTGATCCTGTACTTCCTTTGTTCTTCCATCCTTCCTGTGCTAGAACTCTTTCTTACCTACAATCCAGATGTGCAGAGACATTAGGAAGCTCAAAGCACCCAAGCCTCATGGTGGTAGAGTAACTGTTCCAGGACTCATCTTTCATGGGAACTTGGGACTTGTCCACACTTCCTAGAAAACATGGGTCTGAGAGGTTTTCCACTTGTCCCATGCTTCTTAGGTATGGGGTCCAAGCAGGGGTTTTTTTGTTTGTTCTGCCACTTTCCCCGGGAAAACCCACTGAATCAGAAGAAACATCAATCTGCAGAAAAAATGATGTTTGATCGGATTCAGCTGTAAACAGTGGGTTCTCCCAGGGGAAAGCAGCCAGGCAAGTGGAAGTGTGCCACAAGGCTTAGGATGTGCAAGAAAAGTGTGGCAATGTGGAGGAAGATAGCCACAAGATGGCAGCCACTAGCAGTGGTGGAGGAAGAGGAAGAGGAAGAGGAAGAGGAAGAGAAAGAAGAAGAAGAAGAAGAAGAAGAAGAAGAAGAAGAAGAAGAAGAAGAAGAAAAGAGTTTGGATTTGATATCCTGCTTTATCACTACCAGAGGGAGTCTCAAAGCGGCTAACATTCTCCTTTCCCCTCCTCCCCCACAACAAACACTCTGTGAGGTGAGTGGGGCTGAGAGACTTCAGAGAAGTGTGACTAGCCCAAGGTCACCCAGCAGCTGCATGTGGAGGAGCAGAGACACGAACCCGGTTCCCCAGATTATGAGTCCACCGCTCTTAACCACTACACCACACTGGCTCTCTTGGGCAGCCTCTTGGGCACCTGGGGCGGTGCACCCAGGAACGGGGTGAACCCGTGCCCATAGGGGTGGGGCACACCATGCCGCACAGTTCCCATACGGACAGGGTGTGCTGTGTGGCACCCATAGGGATGGGCAGAGGTGGAGATAGTGGCAGCACACATCCCAGGTGGGTGCGTCAGAGGCGGGGAGCATCCCGGGGGGGTGGCTCGCGCTGATGTCACCCCCCTCCTCAGGGATGACGACACCCGGGGTGGGCCACCCCCACTGCACCCACCTTGCTCCGCCTCTGGCTGCTGGGATATAGTGTGTGTATCTGTGTGACTGCACACACAGAGAGATGGGGAAACCTGTGGCCCTCCAGGTGTTGTTGGGCTGCAGGTCTGATCATTGCTGATCAGCCAACACACCAGCTGTGCCTCCCATCCATGTGCGTTGGCTCTTTCTGCAAGGTTGCCTTAAAAAAACTATTCCCTTTAGCTGTTCCGGCTGTGCCAAATGCCCTTAGCTCTCCGTGTTACCTTCAGATACTGCTTGAAAACCAGCCAGCCATAATTCAAAACATCCCCTGGCATCTTGCTCGTAAAGGTAGGTAGGAGTGATGGCACGACCAAGCTCCATAGATCATCCGGGGAAGGGAAATGTAAGAGTCAAAAGCCAGCGCCGACTGCCCATTTCATCAGAGCGCTCATGAATCTTGTCAGCCAGAGGTCATTCAGCCATTCTAACTGGTGAGCTTGCACTTGCTAGCACCATCCCTGCTCGGTGGAATGAAGACTGGTGGTGGTGGCATGTTTTGTTGGTTCAGTGGTGATTTCCGTTCTTGTTCACTCTCTTTCCTGAGCTAGTGTGTTGCTTAATGGCACATGGGGCTCCTCCAGAAGTCTTTTTGATTGTGCATTCATGATTTGTGCTCATGTTGATGTTACCGGGGTGGTTATACTTCAGCCTGCTTTCAATACACTTTGCATCTGCTACGGTTTGGAGTAGAAAAACTGCCTCCTTTCCAGTCAGTGCCTGCCCTGCAGCTCCCAGCTGATATCTTATAACTTTCCACATATGCACATATTTGTCTGAACTGGTGGCAACTGACCAGCGATAAGACCTCAGGGTCACAGTGGACAGCTCAATGAAGACGTTGACCCAGTGTGCAGCAGCTGTGAAAAAAGCTGGCTGAGGCTGATGGGAGTTGGAGTCCAACAATATCTGCTTTAAACTCATGACACCTGATTATAAACTTTCCCAGTTAGGTCAATCATTCACAGACACACTTGACCACTGCGAAGGAATGGACTTCATACACCTTGCTTTCAAGTCATCCTTTGGGACATTGATGGCCTCTCTTGCCCCCAGCAGGAGCTGAGGCTCTCTGTCTTTTCTGTTGTTACTTAAAAATGGAAAGTGCAATGCTGGTGGTCAACAAAAGAGGTTTAAAGATTCTCTCAAGGCAAATCTAAAAATATATAGTATAAACACAGAACTGGGCAACACTGGCCTGTGAGCGCTCCAATTGGAGAACAACCTTTACCAAAGGTTTCATGGGTTTTGAAGACACTTGAACTCAGGACGAAAGGGAGAAACATGCTAAGAGGAAGGCACGTTTGGCAAACCCTCACTGTGATCAACTCCCGCCCAGAAACCTATGTCCCCACTGTGGAAGGACATGTGGATCCAGAACTGGTCTCCACAGTCACTTACAGACTCACTGTTAAAACCGTGTTCATGGAAGACAATCTTACTTGGCTACGAGTGATCGCCAAAGAAGACGACTTCATTTTCCTTCAGAAAACAATGGGGATCAAAATTTGCAACGTGAGAGGCTTGTATTTATTGTGTGCTTTTGATCGCTATATTTGTTTCCTCTATGTGTGTGTATTTAAAAATTAGGAATTCTACTCTACGGATTCCTGGTGTATTTTAAACCCAAAATAATTAGAAAACAAAGTACAACTTTGCTCACTGTTGTGCATATGGTTATGTTTTAAAATAATGTAGTGCTGAATTTTTATTTGCCTCTGACAGAGCCTAGCATAAGAGCCCAGCACTCTAGCAAAGGAGAGGCCGAGGATTTGTGTTCTTGCGGCACCATCTTGGCCGCTTGACTGCATAAACACACAGCGTTGTTCAACATCTGAGGAGAAGTAATGACTTTCCATTTAGACTGTGGAGCATTCTGCTTAATAATAAATACGCTCCTGACATTGTTAAATGATAGCTTGGTTCTAATAAACCCCATGTTGATCGGTGTGTTGGTTAGAGTGGGTAATTCATCTTCTAGCGCTGCTGAAACTATAGCT